TCGACCCCCCCACCAACCCCCACCCTCCACCCCCCCCCCCCCCCCCCCCCCCCCCCCCCCCCCCCCCCCCCCCCGCCCGCCCCCGCCCCCCCCCACTTGTATCGATTTCTGCCCATTGTCTTATTGCTTTTATCTTGATGCGATTTTATAGAGAAAACAATATTACACATTTTCCAGTCTCAGTGAGTCTTCGGAACAGTACAGAAATCTTTTTAAATTAATTTTTCTGAATTAATGCATAAGGATACTAGTGCTAATTAAAACCAATTCTTCTCCATGAATTTAGGGTAACGTTTCATATAGAAAAATAGCCCATGAAAAGCTGAACAAAATGGTGCACCAACCATAGTTAGATAATACATCATCAAAGAGCTCATTTTCAGGCATCGCCTATCCGGTGGTTACAACCGTTTGATTGTTTACTTATTAGGATTATTTTTCTTATTTAGTATCTTTGCTTTTGGAAGACTTGCACATTTTAGCTCCGATATGCGCTACTCTGACAAGCTTTTATCAGTAGAAATCGAAAGAATAGTGGCTAACTGTGTCTGATGTTACTATTATTAACATAAAAATTATAGAAAATAACGTACAAAACTCAGCACCATTTCGCTTGGTGAGTACTGGTTAAATCTGTCTAACTTGTAATTCTGAATATTACACTATAATGTGTACTTGATACCCGAATGACATTGAAATTGAGAAATATTTTATTGTTTTGAAATTTTTGAAGGTCTCCAAAAGAGAAGTTAAAAACAAATAATTTTGATCTAAGACAAGATTATGCTTTTACATGATGACCTTGACTATTCAACGGTCCTGACGCACTTCGAATAGAAACGTTAAATTATCATCAAATCATACATTGTATTAGACCATATTGCGGATGGACCCACAAGAACGTCGATCAAATCAAATAAATAGTATTTCACAGTTTTGAACAGTGACTTATTTAACCTAGTGACAAAACAGTGTTTGTAGAAAACTAATTGGATCTAGTGTGACAAAGAGTAAGGCATCCGGTAGTAGATGAGATTCCAATTCTGTCATATTTCTATACCTGTTTTCGAAATTCCTTTGGGAGTTTATAAGTATCTTTTCGAATTCATACTCTGAAATTGCAGCCGAATCGTATAGTTTTTTCAAAAGTGTGAAGCAATAAGAATAAATCAAACAAAAGAGTGTTGAAGTAAAGAAAAATTTTATTTTATTTTATTAGAAGAAACTACGATTAATCGTTCTGTTTTTATGATTCTGTTATAATGTGTACTCGGCGATTTCTTTTATAAAAAAAAGAAAAGAAAGAAATGGCATTTTCTTTCATTTATATATGAAGCTGCGATTTCTTTTCAGTTTCGATAGTTTAAAATAAAAAGAAGTTAAAAAGTTACACGCCTTCTCAATTATACCTTCAGAACAAAATAACTAAGGAACTGATACAATATGTCATCAACAGATAAAAAACAAACGCATGAAGAGCAACATGGATTGACTGGCACAACAACTGGCTCAAGTGGAGATCATTTATCTCAAACAGGTGCTAGTCGTTTAGGAACGAGTGGTGCATCAGGTGATATGGGAAATGAAAAAAGTTTGCATGGCACACATTCAGAAAAAGAGCATAGTAATGAACCTGCTGCCACAAGTCCACCCGGTACATCCGCAAATCGAACTGGACCATCAGCAGCAGCCACTGGTCTCTCTGGCACTCAATAGTGACATAACCAAAATAAGTTTTATTCTAGCCGATCATTTACTTTTCTAACGTATTTTAATCGAGCACTTCGACAACAAATACATACAACATACATTGACGTCACAGTCATCACGTTCTTTATATGGTGATGAAATTTAAAACAGATGCATAGTTGTATTACCCTCATTTAAATCGAAATCAATATGTTTTTATATTGGTTGAAATGGCTTTGTTGTTTAATTTAAAAATGTAGACATCCTTGTACTTTTAAAATCATACCATTAGCAAAAATTATTAAATAAAAGTTTTAAAGAATAATAACATGTATTTGACAATAATACATTTCGTAATGCCTGATGTAGTGTTGAGAATTGTATCGTATGTCATTCATCTAAACGAAAATTTGATTGTCACTCTATACATATGTTTTGAATGACTTAATAGCATAATAATCCAGCATCCATTGGGTATTTAACTAAACAGTGAAAGTTAACATTTTTCGATTCTCATTAGCAAACAATGAAGTTCCCTAATTTGTTCATCTTTCCCTATAAAAAAGCTTTTTGCACCTCTCTTGAAATACCGAAAAAACTCATACTGGAGAATAGTCTGTAAACTGAAAAAATTATATTCTAAAATTTACTTCGAGACGATAATTTTAAATCAGAAATGATTCCAGATATGAGGCTAGATACAGATAGATTAACTGTTAAAGAGAAAATAACTTTATCTAAGATTAAAGTCCGACGGAAAATGTTTTTCACACTAACAAATTTTCTCTAAATTAATCCTTTCAGTGTACTTACTTTTCACCAACTTCATCTAATTCAAAATCTGTTTCTGGAAGCAAAGTTTTTCAAAAAGTATTAAAGCTGATGAGACGAAACTTTCAGACTATATACTAGAGACCACGAGGAACAAAAAATTCTCTTGGACCAAAATTCCAGAATGCTTAGGTATTGTGCCACGTTCAGCGTAAAATTGTATAAAAATGCAAAAACAAGGGCATTTTGAAATGAAGTTTTCTCTATGAAGATAAAGTCAAAACTCAAAACAATTTAGTAGATTGAATTCCTCATCATCTGATTCACAGGAAAATGTAGTTCTCATTCTTCTGGTCACTGACAGAAGCATGCTGAGAACCATCTTTAAAACCGAAAACGCGAATTTTCCCGCTTGCCAGTTTTGTGTCGCATTTTTTATTTAAAACTTGCTATTACAGACCGGTGCGGTTGCTATTTTTGGGTTTTACGCATCTGAAAAATAAATCAGTCGAAATCCCTATCTATAATTTTTCCTTCCCGAGTTATAGTCATTTTAAGCTGAGTGCATATGACACTGGTTCGGGCAGGTTAGAACGATAGAAATCCCAAGGAATTCAACTAATCAGTGCCGAACTCACAGGTTATCACCAATTTTAGATAGTTAGTAATGGCTTGTGGAATAAATTATTCTTTTTAACATACAAAAAGCAAACGAATTACGTTCTATGCATTATAGTAGGTAGACACACGATCAAATTAATCCAGGGAAGGCATGTCAATGTGCATGTTTCACTCTAATATTCACTATATATCAGAGTTGGAACCAGACCTGCCGGTTAACACCGATTTTTTGCCGGTTTTTTTACCAGTTTTCTACACGCTCATGTAAAAATCTTTTCAAAAACTTCGGCCAATTCTGAGCCAGATCCAAAATGCGAAGAGCTCCGTCAAAGTGCCTCTAATTGCACTTTGACGGAGCTCTTCGCATTTCGGATCTGGCTCAAAATTGGCCGAAGTTTTTGAAAAGATTTTTACATGAGCGTGTAGAAAAATGTTTGGTCTACCATCATGTTCAATAGCAACTTTTTCCGATCAAAGAAATTTTCGAAGAGTGCCTCTAAGTACCCCGAAGTACTCTAATTTTTTAGGACGTTTGTACGTGCCACGAAAGCAATTTTAATTAGCACAAACTTTGATTTTGCATCGATCACTTAAGAATGATGGTAAGTTCAGTGGAATGAAAAAAATATCAGAGAAACTAGAGTATATCAAAAATTGTTTTGATATACAAAGCAAGCAAAAAAAAAGTTTGCCTTCGGATAGTCGATTCTAAGCGTTTATTTGTGCGTAAATGTGTGAAGAATAAATAAGCTCTTCGAAGCATATATCAAGTAAATTTAATCTGCAGAGTACTTTTGTACTTTTTTCTTCTTCTTTTATCGATTGTATTTACTAGACTACTATTGTATTTAAAGAATTGGAACACTCCATAATGCTTGACAAATACAAGTTTCGTATAGATTTCGTACAGAACTTGTATTTATCAAGCATTATGAAGTGTTCCAATTCTTTAAATACAATAGTAGTCCACAATATCTCAATATTTTCTCTTCAAGCAGATGAATAATACTTTTCTCAAGTTTCTTTCCAATAAATATATAAAGTACTTCGGGGTAATTAGACCCACTCTTCGAAAATTTCTTACTTTTTTCGGTATTTCTAGGCCTCTAATTGCACTTTGACGGAGCTCTTCGCATTTCGGATCTGGCTCAAAATTGGCCGGAGTTTTTGAAAAGATTTTTACATGAGCGTGTGGAAAAATGTTTGGTCTACCATCATGTTCAATAGCAACTTTTTCCGATCAAAAACGGCCAAGAAATACCAAAAAAAGCAAGAAATTTTCGAAGAGTGCCTCTAAGTACTCTAATTTTTTAGGACGTTTGTACGTGCCACGAAAGCAATTTTAATTAGCACAAACTTTGATTTTGCATCGATCACTTAAGAATGATGGTAAGTTCAGTGGAATGAAAAAAATATCAGAGATACTAGAATATTTCAAAAATTGTTTTGTCGGGAAACAAAATCCGTAACATTTGCTTGTTACAAAAGTAAGTTTTTCTCTACAATTCAACATTCAATAATAACTCAGAAAGAAGGAAAGCTTGTATCTCATCGTATTAAATCTGTTAGACAAAGTGATTGGCATTATTTTCAAAACGAAACCACATTAGATCATGACTTTAGAAATGAGGAATATGGTGGTTATGAAGAGCATCGTCATCGGAAAGTATCACAAATGAAATAAATCAGAATAAGTTCTTTCGATGTCACAAGAATTTAGTTGTAAGGAAAACCTATAAACTGCAAAATAGAAAATACTATTTTTGGTACAAGTGCAGGATAAATCTGAGATTTTTAGAATAAATATAGCTATTACGCAGATAAATCTTGAAACAGCACTTTAGCTCTTAATTTCTTATCGTTGTTGAGTTATAAGAAAACAAGTTTCAAGCGTGACACTCGCAATAAACACTGGAAAAGTCGTTTCCTCTGACATCAATGCACATTGAGGCTTTTCCTTACAACCATGGGTTCTAACTATCAATAAAATCTGAGCTCAATAGCTGGCGACATTCGCTTATCGAAAATTATTAATAAATAGGTGTGCTATCGTTTAATGATATGTTTTACGCAGTCCTTGACTAATAAGCCCTGCTGCGAATTTTTGTTTGACTAATTCATTCTTATGTTTTTCAGGATATTTCTATTGAAGAAGGAAGTGACGAACAGTCTGCAATGAGCGTCGAAGTTTCTGACATTGTTAAAAAAGATAATATTCCAAATTTGGTGAGTATAAACTGTAGGCTAGAACTGCATGGATTCTTTTTAGACAAAATTTATTTTCATTTTAGCGTAATGAAATTAATTCAAAAACTTTGCAGATTAGTAGTAGTAAGTTTTATTTAGAGACAAAATTTTATTATGTATACTACAAGTTTTATTTTTGAAACACCACTTAAGTCATCGATTCTTATATACAAATTATCCAGAACCGAACTAGGAGCTGCTATCCGTTCCAAAAAAGGATGCGGATGGTTATTTTACGTTTAATAATTTTGATAGGAATGAGTCAGAGACCTGCGGTTTTCACCATCATATTGCTAAGACCTAAAGACATGTTTTTGTAAGCAAAAAGTTGTTTCCAAAATTTCTACAGGTCTAATTTAGCAGAAGATCTTTCAAACATCAGCTCCGTTCTCAGAAAACTAACATACAATGTCAGTAATTCTTTTACACGTGCCGGTAGCCCGGACGTTACTCTGCAGAATCATGCAAGTCTCAGCTATCGTCGTTCGGGCTTAGTTGCTTTTCCCGAGCGCGGGTCTATCTCCGAGCGGACATCTCCGGGAATCTCGCAATGCCACGGAATCTAACATGGAATAGCAACAAGCTTGTGTGGACGTACGTTTAACGTACGTACGTTTGAGTATAGGTTTACAAAATCTAGTTCTAAGTATACCATAACAAACTAGTTCTAATTACAGTAGGTACTTTTAGCCCTACGGAGGCAAGCTTTTATGGACGTTGGTTGGAGAACTCATAAACGCTGAACAGAAAGTAGATCTAATGTAAGAGGTTATGATGCCCTTAGATAGAAGAATAGAAAAAAAATTACTATTATCAGACTCTTACATGAGTCTTACGAATTTCTTATCCATCCAGATCAATCTGCCAATGGATTCCTACTGCAGGATGGGAGATCAATCTTGTTCCTGTTGTTTTCGTTTTCTATAATAAGATCTCAGTTTCAAGTAGGGAGACCTATAACTAGCCCTAATTGCCTACTGTCTGTAGACTAAATGTACTCCAAGTCTATTACCACCGTAGAAATAGAATGCTTATAAATATCAGAATTAATATTTAAAAGTTTAGACTTACGAACAATATCTCTTTCCAATAAGCTAATAGTTCAGATATAAGACTACTGCAATGAATGTTGAATATAATGATGATGATGTAGAGCACTTAAAGTTAATAAACCGCACATTTAGCAATATCATCATGAATGTCACGTCACATAGCTCATTGCATAACCTAAAACAGAAAGAAACAGATATTTTTCATAAAACAAGTTGAATAGCAGATGTCCTTTTGTCTAATTCCAATAAAGTTATAAAAGAATGTTCCTGTTTGTTGAAATTCACCAACCAAAGTCCGTAAAAGGTTGCCTCCATGGGGTTAAACTTACTTACTTA